TTCACCCTGGAACCTACTACCGGGACTGCATCGCCGACCGGTGCCACCGCGACGGCGCCTGCCGCGTCCTCGCCGCCTACGCCGCCGCCTGCCAGGAGGCCGGGAGGAGGGTGCTGGCCTGGCGCACGCCTGGCTTCTGCCGTAAGTCGCCCACCGTGGGGTGGGGTGGGGTGGGGGGACACCAGCCCCATGGAGAACCTGGGGAGATCAGGGTGGGATGAGGACACCAGGCCCATGGAGAACCTGAGGTGTTGGGTGGCAACCAGCCCCATGGAGCACCCAGAGAACCCAGGGTGGGGCGACACCAGCCCCATGGAGAACCTGAGGAGATCAGGGTGGGGTGGAGGGACACCCCATGGAGAACCTGAGGAGATCAGGGTGGGGTGCGGACACCAGGCCCATGGAGAACCTCAGGAGATCAGGGGGGGATGAGGACACCAGCCCCATGGAGCACCCAGGAAGGACCCAGATGTCTGGGTAGGGTGGACAACCCCGCCCATAGATCACCCAGTGGGCCCATGGTGGGGTGAGGGCGGACACCAGCCCCATGGAGAACCCAGCAAAGACCTGGGCACCCCAAAGAGCACCCAGACACCCCACACTTTGGGGAGGATCCCACCCCACATTGGGGAGATCCCACCCCATGTTGAGGACACCCAGACACCCCTGGGTGCTCCTGGGCTCCCCAGAGCTCTCCTGGGCACCCCGAGGGTCACTCAGACACCCCACATTGGGGAGATCCCACCCCACGTTGAGGAGATCCCATCCCACGTTGAGCAAAGAGCACCCAGACACCCCACACTTTGGGGAGGATCCCACCCCACATTGGGGAGATCCCACCCCATGTTGAGGACACCCAGACACCCCTGGGTGCTCCTGGGCTCCCCAGAGCTCTCCTGGGCACCCCGAGGGTCACTCAGACACCCCACATTGGGGAGATCCCACCCCACGTTGAGGAGATCCCATCCCACGTTGAGCAGATCCCACCCCACATTGGGGGGATCTCACTCCACGTTGGGGGGGATCTCACTCCGCGGTGGGGGGATCCCACCCAACGTTGAGGAGATCCCACCCAATGTTGAGGAGATCCCATCCCACGCTGA